CTGTCTCTACTAAAACTATAAAAATTAGTCTGGTGTAGTGGCATGTGCCTGTAGTCCCAGCTACTCCGGAGGCTGAGGCAGGAGAATCACTTGAACCTGGGAGGTGGAGGTTGTAGTGAGCTGAGATCGCACCATTGTGCTCCAGCCTGGGTGATAGAGTGAGACTCCATCTCAAAAAAAAAAAGACATGAGGTTTGATTAGGGGCTACATACATGGGAAAGAATGCAGTGGTGGTGGGCTGGGCAAGAAAACCTCAACTGCTTGCAAATAGCATGTAGTTTTGGCCGGGTGCACTGGCTCATACCTGTAATCCCAGCACTTTGGAAGGCCGAGGTAGGTGGATTACCTGAGGTCAGGAGTTTGAGACCAGCCTCACCAACATGGTGAAACCCTGTCTCCATTAAAAATACAAAAATTAGCCGGGTGTGGGGGCACATGCCTGTAATCCTAGCTACTTGGGAGGCTGAGGCACAAGATTTGCTTGAACCTGGGAGGTGGAGGTTGCAGTGAGCTGAAATCACAGCATTGCAATCCCGCCTGGGTAACACAGTGAGACTCTATCTCAAAACAAAAAGAAAAACAAAAAAACAAAACAGCATGCAGTTTATATAGCATTTTCACTTAGTATCCTCCCGTTAATGACCTCCACCTGGCAACTTCCATTTAATCCAAAACTTAGGGTTTCAATTCCCTGTACAACACATGTTTCATAGGACAGGCCAGGAACTCAGACATTCTTGACAGACAAGGAAAAAAATCTCCAGGTTGGCTACTCCTAATTCGCTAGCTCAGAACGCACATTCAGGTGCATCTGCCATACAGAGTCATTCTAAGAGTGTGCTTTAGTTATTGCTCTCGGGTGCATTTACCCTACAGTGGCTTATGACGTGGTTAAGAGTAGACGTTTGAAGTCAAATCCCATCCTGGCTGCTTGCTAGCTGTGAAACTGAGACTTGTTCCTTCTTCAACATTCATTTATTCATTCATTTCAAAAACTAGTACAGAGATATTCCTTTGGTGCCGTGGATACAGTGATGAACAGGGCATACACTATCCCCTCCTGCCTTCAAAAAGTACAATCTACTGGCAAAGACAGCCCTGACAAAGTGTGACCCAAGTGAGGATATGGGAAGACCCATTTTTATGAGATCATTTGCAGAAGCTCCTACTGTGGTCTGGACAGGGTAGAAGTCAGGGAAGCCTTTACAGGGAAGCTAAGCCTAAGCAGAAAGTGAAGGCTGAATACGAGATGGAGGAAGGGAACCTTTGCTGGGCAGACAGACCCCCAAATATGGAGGCCAGAGAGCTAGAGATGGTGGAGTGCCTTAAACTCTAAATAAATTCAGAAAAGTTAATCCGGAAGTTTCTACTCTGTGTGTGTGTGTGGTTTCTTTTTATTTCTTTTCTTTTTTTTTCTTTCTTTTTTTTTTTTGAGATGGAGTCTCACACTGTTGTCCTGGCTGGTGTGCAATAGCACGATCTCGGCTCGCTGCAACCTCCACCTCCCGAGTTCAAGCTATTCTCCTACCTTAGCCTCCGGAGTAGCTGGGACCCACCACCACACCTGGCTAATTTTTTGTATTTTTGGTGGAAACGGGGTTTCACTGTGTTGGCCAGGCTCTTCTCAAACTCCTTACTTCGTGATCCGTCCGCCTCAGCCTCTTAAAGTGCTGGGATTACAGGCATGAGCCACGGTGCCCGGCTGTTTTTTTTCTTTTCTTTTCTTTTTTCTTTTAGTGGAGTGTGTGGTAGAGAGGGAAACGGTGAGAGCTGGGACTGGAGAGTGACTGGAGAGCTAATTAGGGCCAGGTTATGAAAGGGATTCAGGACCTATTAAGGAGAATAGACTTGTATCCTCAAAGTAATGGGAGCCTCTTAGACGATTTTAAAGAGGGAATTACATGATCGAGTTTTTATTTTGGAAAAATCGACTGAATTTTGGAGAATGGTTTGTGTGGGAGGAGAACAAGTTGGAGGATAGAGCAGTAACCTAAAGCGATGGCCAGAATGAAGGCTGCTTAAGGGCTGAGATCTTCATCAGTTTTGTTTCTTTGAGCATCCCAGGTTCTTGGAACAGAGATTGGTACATACCAGACAATCAGTAATTGCTTGTTGAGTGATCGTGGCCTGGACCAGGGCAGTGGCTGTAGGGATAAAGGGATTCATGTGAATTCGAGACCTAATTTGTGGGCCAAAGGAAAATAATTACTGATTTAAGAAGTTAAGAAGGATTCTCAGTGTTCTGGCTTGAGCAACTGAAGGGAAAATGGTGACATTTTCTGAGGTGAAAAATCCTTAAACTCTTTGAGCCTCAGTTTCTTCATCCATAAAATGGGACCGATATCCCACATCTCACAAGTATGTAAAGGGAGTAGCCTAGTGCCTGATACATCAGGGGTAATCAGTGCGTCAACGTGTCCTCCACGCTCAGATCTCCTCTATAGCATGCAAAGTCGCCTCTACAGGTTATGAAGAAAGCCCACATGGACATCTTCCCAGGGTCTCCAGGTTTGAAGCTCCCAGAGATGGTATCGGGAGCAGCAGCAAAAGCCCCACAAGTGGAAATGTCTAGCCAGGAAGTGAAACAAGCAACTGAGATTGCTAACTGGAGTTTATTTTCTAAAAATGAACAGCAATTCTCAGTATGGCGCAGTCACCTGCAAACCTGGTCCTTAGTAAGCTATTCTGGTCTTCGTCAACATGAAGAATTTGATTGGACAGAGGAGCAGATTGGGGGTGAGGCTTTCTGTAGCTAAGGGGTAGTTGGGGTGGTGGGAGGTGGAAAATAATTTAGCAGAAAGGAAGCGAGTTTGTTTTTAAACTCACAATCCTCCCTGAGGTACAACTACTTAGGGTCATTTCTCCAGTCTCATTTTCTGGGAAAGTGGAATTGTACCTGGTTATGGGCAGCCAGGGCATTGTTGAGGTTGCAGTTTCCTGTGGACGAGTTGCAACCACTGGTGTTAACAAGGCCCAGGAGGTCACTTGGAGCCCCCGCCACCTCTTTCTCTTCTATCTACTCAATGGATGGAGACCAAGCAACAATTCGCTGCCATGCACCACAGTATGCTAGTACTGAGGTTACCGAGATGCACGAGTCACAGCCCCTGCCTTTTGCAAGGGAAACAGACCAGCAAACAGGTAATTACAATCCCATAGAACGGGCATCCGTATTTATTTCCTAGGGTTGCCATAACAAATCATCACAATCTTGCATGGTGGTGCAAGTTTAACACAACAGAAACATCTTATCTCACATTTCTGGAGGCTAGCAGTTCAAAATAAAGGTGCCAGCAAGGCTAGGCTCTCTCTGGTGGCTCTAGAGATTGGTCACTTTTTGCCTTTTCATAGTTTCTGGTATTACTGGTTATCCCTGGTGTTTCTTGGCTGGTAGAAGCATCACTCCAATGCTTGCCTCTGTCACCACATGGAATTCTCCCTATGTGTCTCTGTGTTTCTTCTCTTCTTGTAAGGATGGCAATCATATTGGATTTAGGGCCCACACTATTCCAGTATAACCTCGTCTTAGCTCAGTTATATTTGCAAATACCCCATTTCAATTAAGGTCACATTTGCAGATACCAGAGGCTAGGACTTGAACATATTTTTTAGGAGTCGGGGGACACAATTCAGCCCACAACAATGTGAGTACAAGAGTGCCTGATGTCCTGTTGAGTCAGATTTTACCTTGTTACAAGTGTTATGGGAGCAATCCCTGTGATGTAATCTACAGTTCTCTCTCTCCCTTTTTCTTTTCTTTTCTTCTTCTTCTTTTTTTTTTTTTTTTGAGATGGAGTTTTTTTTTTTTTTTTTTTTTTTTTTTTTATGAGATGGAGTTTTGCTCTTGTTGACCATGCTGGAGTGCAATGGTGCAGTCTCAGCTCACTGCAACCTCTGCCTCCTGGATTCAAGTGATTCTCCTGTCTCAGCCTTCTGAGTAGCTGGGATTACAGGCATGCACCACTCGGCTAATTTTTTGTGTTTTTAATAGAGATGGGGTTTTACTATGTTGGCCAGGCTGGTCTCAAACTCCTGACCTCAGGTGATCCACCTGCCTCAGCCTCCCAAAGTGGTGGGATTATAGGTGTAAGCCACCACACCTGGCCTACTTCTTGACTTCTTTCTTCCCCTTCTGTAGTTTTGTTAACTCATACTAATTGGTCATCTCCTGCATATTAGACAGAGTTCTAGAAATCAGTGATGGAGTGCAGAGACCAGACAGACATGGTTCCTGCCTCTGAGACTTATGAGTTATGGGGGAAAGAGACAGCAGCCAAAGAACCACATAAATACGTGTCAAACGGCAAGTGGAACAATTGGAAGGGGAGCCCTTCTGAATATGCGGAGTAACAGCTTGAACTGACCTCCCAGGGGAACAATTCTAAGGCCATAAAGACCAGTCTCCAGCCATAGAGTGTATTTCTGCTCTGTAAGCATCAACATCTTCTAGTCTGCAAGATACAGGAAAAGGAGAGATAGAAGGTCATTGATTTACTTGGGTCCATGTATTTGAAACTGTCTGCTTGAGAAGCAGGCGAATAGGGAATGAGGGTAACCAAGGGTTAAGGTGTAAGCAAAAGAAGAGCAGGTGCAGCCAGTTCTAGGCAAGATTGGGCAGCATACAGGCCACATCCTCACTCCTGAAACAACAAGATGGAAATTTCCACTTCAGCCTCTGATTGACCACAGGCTAGGTCTCCACTTCAGCCTCTGATTGGTCATGTGCCATCTCCACTTCAGCCTTTGATTGGTCCTGGGGCAATCCTTCATAAGGTGTAACCAACTGGAGCCCTCTAAAGGGCACAAAGTGGGTGTTACCAAATTCTTTTAGCTTAATAAGAACCCTTAAAAACATTATAATTGGAGCTTTTGAGCTGCTTGATCAAGCCTGCTCCCACTCTGTGTACTTTTGCTTCAATAAATCTGTGCTTTCATTGTTTTGGGTTTTTTTGTTGCTTTATTTGTATGTTTTGTTTGATTCTTTGTTCAATGCACCAAGAACCTGGACAACTCACAGTCAAGCATTTCCATCCCGTAACAGTTGGAGAATGAGCCTGCGTGACAGGCCTTCCATTTAGCAGGTGAATCTCAGCTGCTACGTAAATCGTCAAAGCCGGAACTTGGAATGTGAATATAGCCATGAGAGTGCCTCAGCAAGGAACCATTATGAGGTACCGATAAACTGACCACCCTGTAAAAACCAAGGGGGCCAGGAAATTACAAATGGTTCAGCAGCATCCAGGGAAGTGGGAAACACAAACCTGAGATTTTCTGTGGGGACCCTTGAGCAGCCTTGGGGAAGTCACAACCAGTTGTGAGGGGCTACAAAGGCAGGGGGTATGTGGTGTTTGAGGATAAATGATAGGCTGGACCTGGGCAGGGTGGGGAAGGGGACTTCCTGGGAAGCTATGCTCATGCTCTGTTTCCCAGGCCCATGAAGACAAAGCTGTCAAAAAATAAAAAATAAAAAAATAAGGCTTCCCATCCACACCCATATAATACTATGAATGGATCTCAGAGTTTGGTGTCAAAACTCACCAAAACATACACTTAAATGGGTGCATTTTGTTATATGTAAATGATATCTCAATAAAGTGAATTTTCAAGATGCTGGTGATAGCCCTTTTTGTTTTTGTTTTGTTTGCTTGTTGTTGTTATTTCAAAAGAAGGTCTTGCTCTGTTGCCCAGGCTGAAGTGCAGCAGTGTTATCTTGGCTCACTGCAGCCTTGACCTCCTGGGCTCAAGTGATCCTCTCACCTTAGCCTCTCAAGTAGTTGGGGCTATGGATGCATGCCACCATGCTCAGCTAATTGCTTTACAATTTTTTGTAGAGACAGGGTCTTGCTATGTTGCCCAGGCTGGTCTCAAACTCCTGGACTCAAGCAATCCTCCCAGCTTGGTTTCCCAAAGTGCTGGGATTACAGGCATGAGCCACCATGCACAGCCCCTCTTTGTTTTAATTCTGGGTGTCAAAGCCACGGTAGAAGCCTTTCTAATCTTGCTCAAGGGTCATTGGATCCTGTATTATATAATGTCAGGGCCTGGAGAGAATCCCAAGACAACTGAGATCAAGCACATCATTTTATGCAGGAGGTGACTTAGTCTCAGGAGAGACAGCAAGGTCATAGTCACAGCAGTCAGAAGGATGCACCATAGATTGGAAAAATCCAGAAGGTGGGACATGGGTGGAATGGCATGCTCTTAGACAATCTAGCCTGTGTGCTGAAGTCAGAAGTTAGATCTAAGGTCATTCGATTAATCAGATTTTGGTCCTGAAATTCCCGGCTGTCCACTTCCTTCTGTCCTTAACATGTTCTGTGAACACTCAGTCACTGCTACAGTCATACACAGATTGCATTTATTTTCATATCTCTTTGCAAAGGTTCTTCTGCATTGGGTGTCTTAATGTGTTCCATGATCTGGGTCTATTTAGGATCAAACTCACACTCAGAAACCGGGGTGGGGCCAACGTAATGAAATGGAGGAAATTATAAGCCAGGCGTCATAGTCTGGAGCATACATCTTCAAACATCGGTATGTATCAAAATTAAAGTGCCAATCCCTGGGATTCACGTCCAGATATTTTGATTTACTAGGTCTTGGTATCCGGGAATCTGCACTGATAACCCACACCACAGGTGATTCTGATGGAGGTGGTTCCAGAACTAGAGTTTGAGAGTCGCTGTCCTCTAGCAACCTCTGGATTAAACACGGGAGAAAACAAATAGACCTGGGTTGTTGACTGACCAATGAACTTTCAAGGTAACCCACATTCAAAATATTCTATATTTTTCAAAGGATGGTGATGGAAAAGAAACAATGACCACAAAAGCCTGTCTTGAACACAGACTTATTTGTGGCAGTTTTCAGGAGTGTATTCTTTTCTAGTGATGGAGGGTTTTTTTAAAATTCTGCTAAGCCTTCTTTTGAGTCACTCTCTTGAGATATAATTCACATACCATATAATTCAACCATTTAAAGTGTACAATTCAGTGGTTCCAGTATATTCAGAGTTGTGTAACCATCATCATCAACTTTAGAATATTTTCTCCTCCCTCCCCAAGTCCTACTCCCATTAGCAGTTACTCCACATTTCCTCCCACCCCCTCCACCCCTAGGCAACCACTAATCTACTTTCTGTGTCTGTAGATTTGCCTATTCTGGACATTTCATATAAATGAAAGAAAATGACACAGCTTCTTTCGTGAGTGGATTCTTTTGCCTAGCATGTTTTCAAGCTTCATTCATGCTGTAGCATGTATCATATCACTATTTCATTTTGTTAATTGCCAAGTAGTATTCCTGATGATGGATTTTAAGATGGAACTTCTCTTTTTTCACAAGTTGAACACCTATCTTTCCTCTAGAATAACATTTTCACAAGTTGAACATCTATTTTCCTTCTAGAACAAGAGGCTTTGTAGCAGATAGGAATGTCAGATGCACTGCAAAGACTTAAGAATGTTATTCAAGGCCCAAGTGACCTTTCCAGCCTCATCTCCATCAATTTTGCACTTCCTTCCATGATGTTGTAGCCACACAAGACATCTCTGGGCTCTCCCCTACTACTCTCTGGTCAAAATAACATGGATTCTTGTCTGTGCAGTGAATGCCTCCTCTAATTCTGAGCTCAAGCATCTCCTTGCCTGAACCTTTCTCGTTTTTGCCCCTCATCCTAATTGTAGATCTTTTCATTGTGTGCAATGATGGGTGAAGTCACCACCCTCTAGGCTGGTGACTTCTCCAAGAGGGGAACTGAATTTTCTTAATTTTTGTATTCTCAGTGCCTAACTAGTTCTTGGCAAGTATGGGGTATTTGGTTGAGATTTGTTGAATGACTGAATGAGTGAATGAATGAACAAGTAAATGAAAGCTACAGAAGCCAGCATATATAGAATGAAAATCACTTTTCCCTGCAGCTTTTAACGTAGCCGTTTAACGTACCCAAGGATGCTGAGCAAGAGACTATATAACGTAACTCCTTCTGTTTGAAATGACTTGTTTGCAAAAGAGTAAAAATGACAATTTAAAGAATATTAAACTGCGTAAGCAGGAAAAACAATCTGCTAACAGTGGTTATCTCTGGGGGAGAGTTTAGAAGAGCTGGGGATGTTTTCACTTTTTCTTTCATTAGAGACTTCAAAAGAAGAAAGGTGGTGTAAAAATTGGTGATTTTTTTCTTTTATGGTTTTTGGGGATTTTTTAAACATAAAAATTATAAAAAGTAAATAATAAGAAGCAGAGAAAAAGGGATGTCTGCACATTGTTGGTGGGAATGTAAAGTAGTACAGCCACTATGGAAAACAGTATGGATGTTCCTCTGAAAATTAAAAACAGAACTACTATATGATTCATACGAAATTTCTATCTCAGTTTAAGCCATTGCTAGTTTGGGTCTCTGTTACTTACAGATGAACCTAATTCTAAGAAACACAGATGCTTTAGACTCGGATCTGAGTACCAGGCTGGCTCTGGCTGTGGCAAATCACTTATCCCTTCTGTCCTCAGTTTCCTCATCTGTTAGAGGAGAATGAAAAAACTTACCTCAGGGGATCACTGTGAAGTTTCAAAAGCACAGTGCCTGGCACAGCAAGGGCATTTAATAAATGGCAACTCTTGCCATTATTATTAGCAATAATGATAACAGAAATAAACAGGAAAATGACAAATCAACATATATGAAGGTCCCTTTTATCTGTGACAGACTTTGAATCCGATTTGATTTATAGCCTGTCCGCTTATGCTGGGTGGCTTCACATATTGATTATTTGAAAATCATGTGGCTTAGCCCTAGAATGGAGGCTCATTTAATAAACTCCACCTATTGGGTGATTATGCAGAAGACAGCTGCAATGACCTCCGGGACAGAGAAGCCTGATGATAACAGTAGCTACCATTTATTGAGCCCTTACTATGAGCTACCACTTAGTCTTTAACACAATCCCATGAGATCTTTTAATTCCCATTGTACAGATGAGAAAATGAGGCCAGATAGGTTAAATGCTTTAAGATAGGTTAAATGCTTTAAATAATCAGTAAGTGGCTTATTCAAGATTCAAACCCAGGTTTTCTGAACCAAAGTTAGTGATCTTTTCATTAGACTAGTTGCTGCTCAAGCTACAAATAATATGGTGTTAAAAAAAAAAAAAAAAAGAGGGGCTGGGTATGGCTGCTCATGCCTGTAATCTCAGCACTTTGGGAGGCCGAGGTGGGCGGATCACTTGAGGTCAGGAATTCAAGACCATCCTGGCCAACATGGTGAAACCCTGTCTCTACTAAAAATACAAAATTTAGCCAGGCATAGTGGCAGGCACCTGTAATCCCAGCTACTCAGGAGGCTGAGGCAGGGGAATCGTTTCAACCTGGGAGGCGGGGGTAGCAGTGAGCCGAGATCATGCCACTACACGCCAGCCTGGGTGACAGAGTGAGACTCCATCTCAAAAAAAAAAAAGAGGAGGAAGGGAGGTAACAAAAGGGTACTGGGGCTTTAAAGAAAGGTCAGCAGTTTTCCAATTTTCACATTTGGTGACTCATGTAATTCCCCAGTGTGTCCTCAAAGTGTTGGAATGAAGTACGGTAACTTCTTGCTGCAGTCACTCATGCCAGGGAGTTCTGTGAAATCTGGGGAGGGGTTACCTCCAGTACCCAACGATACTGACCAAGGGACTATCAGTTGTCCCTCTACGTCCAATCTTCCTTCTTCCAAAGTAAAATGATTTTTCATGGAGCATATATTAATTGATGCCTAGAATCAACTATGTTTCCCATCCTTGCTTGCAGCAAAGTGTGGCCATGTGTCTAAGTTTTGGCTAATGAGATATAAGTAGGAAGTTTTATGTACAACTTTGGGGATGTTTCTTTAAAAGGAATGGGCATGCTCTTCTCCTTTGCTTTTCCCTTTCTACTGGTTGGATTGCAGATGTAATGGCTGGGGCAGCCATCTTGGCAATGAGATGAACATGGAATTTGTGGTAGAAGACACAGATAGAAGGAGCTCGAGTCTATAATGCTGTCGTAAACCATACCGGCTTTCAACTACCTTACTAGACTTTTTGTGAGAAAGAGAAAAAATTTTCTATCTAAGTTTAAGCGATTGCTAGTTTGGGTCTCTGTCACTTACAGCTGAACCTAATTCTAACAAACACAGATGCTACCCTACCATTCATTACCCTATCCTCCCTTTCAGTAGCCCCCAATTCCTTTTTGGGGGAATTCTGTCACCAAATTAGATGCCTTTTAAAATGGACACATTGTATTGTACATATTTGTGCGGTATAATTTGATGTTTTGATACATATGTATTGTATAACGATCAAATCAGGGTATTTAGTGTGTCAATAACCTTGCCCATTTATCGTTTCTTTGTGGTGAGGACAATTACAAGCCTCTCTTCCAGCTATTTAGTAATCTACAAAATATCTTACTTTTAATTATCCTCACCCAACTGTGCAATAGAACACCAGACTCATTTCTCCTATCTAACTGTAACTTTGTACCAGTTGATCAATCTCACCCTTTCATCCCCTCTCCCACTCCCTCCCCAGTCTTTATTAACCATTGTTCTATTCTTTGCTTCTATAATAGCATCTGTGTTTTTTGGTTTTTTTTTTAGATTCCACATATGAGTGAGATCATATGATATTTGTTTTTTCATGTCTGGCTTATTTCACTTAACATGATGTTCTCCAGGTCCATGTTGTCAAAAAATGACAAAATTTCTTTCTTTTTCATGGTTCAATAGTATTAAATTATATTTATATATATATATGTGTGTGTGTGTGTGTGTGTGTGTGTGTGTGTATGATTTTCTTTATCCATTCATCTATTATAGGACACTTAGGTGGATTTCATATATTGGTTATTGTAATAGTGCTGCAATAAATATGGGAGTGTAGGTATCTTTTCAATATGCTAATTTCATTTCCTTTGGATAGATACTCCATAGTGGGATGACTGAATAATATAGTAGTTCTGATTTTAATTTTCAGAGGAACATCCATACTGTTTTCCATGGTGGCTGTACTACTTTACATTCCCACCAACAATGTATAGACATTCCTTTTTCTCAGCATCCTCACCAACATTTGTTTTTATTTGTCTTTTTGAAACTATCTAGTCTAACTGGAGTGAGATGATATCTCATTGCAGTTTTGATTGCCATTTCCCCAATTATTAGTGATGTTGAGCATCTGTTCATGTAACTGCTAGTCATTTCCATGTTTTCTTTGGAGAAATGTCTTGTAACGTCATTTGCCCATTTTAAAATAAGGTTTTTTGTTGTTGTTGAGTTGTTTAAGTTCCTTATATATTCTGGATTTGAATGTCAGATGTATAATTTGCAAATATTTTCTCCCATTCTGTAGGTTGTTTCTTCACTCTGTTTATTGTTTCCTTTGCTGTGCAGAAGCTTTTTATTTTGATGTAATCCCATCTGTCTACTTTTCCTTTTGTTGCCTGTGCTTTTGAGGTCTTATTAAAAATTATTTGCCCAGCCCAACGGCATAAAGCATTTCTCCTACGTTTTCTTCTAGTAGTTTCATAATTTTGGGATTTACATTTAGGCCTTTAATCCATTTTGAGTTCATTTTTGTATATGGAGTGAGGAAGGGGTCTAGTCTCATTATTTTACATGTGAATATCCAATTTTCCTTGCAACATTTGTTGAAGAGATTATCTTTTTCCCAGTGTGTCTTCTTGGCAACTTTGTTGAAAATCAGTTGGCTATAGGTGCACGAATTTGTTTCTGAG